AAGAAAATCATACAGAGCACCAAAAGGTACAGAACAAATTTACATAATAAGTGTTGTAACATTAATATCTTAGATTTTTCTTATATTGACAAGTATTTCCTGGTAGTACATGCTAAAATACATGCTAATACACACTGTATCATAGTCTTTTTGCACACTGACATTGTTGTTTTCAAAATTTGTCAATGATTACGATATGGAAAACTTCACCATCTACAACTAAACAGAGGTATATATGTATGAAAAGTGTTTTTTTTAATGAAACTTGGTACATAGATGCTCTGGGATAATTCTCAGACCTGATTAGTTTGGGTTGAAATCCTGTACATATTAATTACCTTATTTGCATATTAATTAGTCAGTTTAATTTCACTTTTCCTCAAGAACCATTCAACATATTTCAATAGACTTGATACATAGATGTTCTGGGATAATGCACAGTTTGTGCACATTAATGACCTAATTTGCATATAAATTAACCAATATTTAACTTTTCCACTAATATTTCAGACATATTTCAATAATTTTGCATTCAATAAATACAATGCTTTTTATGTGTAATAAAGTTGTGCTTCTAATATAATAAAGTATTCCTCCAATACCTTCAGCACACGGGAGTTCTTTCTAAGCTTTCTTTGATGAATAATTCCTGAGAATTTCCAAATACCATCTTCTGTATGTTGTCAGTCCAAGTAATTTAAATTTTCAGTTTTTTTCACACTTTAATATATTCCATGGTTCAAATGTGTAATCACGCAAGGCTTTAACAGTTTCTCTATGTTTTTTGTCATTCCAGGAAGTGGAGAAACTAGAGGGGAAATTAAATGCTCAGAGACAAAAACAAGAGAAAGAACTTAAAAAGAGGCTGAGAGATAAGCTTTCACAGAGAGAAAAATCTTTTCAACATTTACAAGAAGAGCAGTTACGTCATGTAGCTGATGGTCAACTTAACAACTTGGCTGCCAAGATTAGAATAGCTGCTTTGAAACACAAACAGATGATGGAATTGGAAGAATTCAGGTTGGTAGAATATTCTCGATGCTAATATGATTTTTTTTGATACAGGTATATAAAGTTCCATGGTATGACTATCTATAATGAGTATTTTTAGAAATCTTCGCATATTAGCATCTGCTAAGTATATCTTGTAGTTTTATTCCTGATTTCCCAAATTCTCAATACTTTCAGACACTAAAGCAAGGTGAAATGTATATAGTTTTGTAACTATGTTAAAATTGTTTTGAAAAAAATGAGTTCTTTTAGAAGAAAATAGACAGGATTTGTTGCAACACTGAGTAATTAAGTCTTCCATTTAAGGTCAACTCGACTGTCACTCTGGGTTTAATATTCAGATTCAAATCTTCTTTCCTAATATAATTATTATTGTTTATAAATCCCAAATAAACGATGACCAATTCAATGAACAATTCAAAAGTTCAGCAGAATTGACCTTTAGTGTTAATTCAGTGCTAAGAAAGATTCTGTCTGTTTTCTTAAATAGAACATGAGTTTGTTTAACATAAATTATCAAAAGTTCAAAATGGTTACATTTCCCATATGTTGATAAATACAAATATTTCACTTTGCTGCAGTAACAAAAATACTCTATATAGGACAGTTGCTTGTTTCAGCAGTCCTCCAATTTTCAAATAATTCATCCCTCACAATATTTCTGCACTTTTCAGGAGAAATATGGAAGTAGAGATTGGTCAAACTTTGGAAGACCTTAGAAGATCGTATGAAGTTAAGAGACTCCAACTGTTACAAGAACAGGTAAGTTTAATAGTTAGCTAAAAAAACAAAAACAGAAGAAGATTTATTTCTGACCATCGAGAATTCACATTATTGATTTATTGTTGAGTACCCAAATGTATTGTTGTAAAATCATTTATTTTCACTGAGATTTAATTTCACTATTTTGATATTTTGAGCATATTCATTGTGTTTTAATTTCACAAATTTGTCAAGTAAACAATGAGTTTTATTGTTCACATAAATTTAATTTAGCAAATTTTAGCAAAAACATCACAATTAAAACCCAGTAAATAATTAATGTAAATAAATTCTAAATGTGAGATTTTAGAGTTTTTTGGATTCTTGCACATGTCAGCTAAGTGTACTTTATATATCCCGTTATTTATATGTCAAAATTTTGACCATTCTTACGTCTTTCTCATGTACGTGAGTTGGGGTGGAAATTCAGCCATTGTCACATAATTACTGTTTCATTTTAATCTTGCATGCGGGAGTTTGAAAGTGTCCTGTCTGTTCTCATGTGCGTGAGAATGGTCAAGGTGTTGACACGTAAAACGATAAATGCGCACTATACATGTAAACACGCCTATTATTTGTTTAAATCCATGGAGAATGTGCTTAAAAACAGTTATTACACGTACTCTCGAATTGTATTGTGTTATGTGAGAACACACATAAAAACGCCCATTCTCACGCGTACACGTGAGTATGGTTGATTTCCAGTCTAACTCACCTATGTTTAGAATCACATGAGCATGGCCATTTTTTGGCATTTTAAATACCGTACCTGATATATTGGAACTTTTTATCTGGCAGAAGTTGAGAATTGAGTATTGCTTTATTCCAGGAAATTGATTTCATTGCAAGCCTTGTCAGACACGGCGGGTATGAGAAGAATGAATTACAGGGTATCTTACTGCTGCTCTTCCCGAATAAGTCGGATGAGCAAATTCGTGAAGTTCTTGAGAGAATATACAAGGCGACAGAGAGTGATGATGATATAGGAGATGTAGCAGCAGGAAACGTAAAACAAAGGCTGGGTAAGATGCATGATAAAAATCACTTGCTGTGATATACATTTGTACCACTGTGTAATGTTACATGTATAAGCAGGTACATGTATATACATGTTCTCCTATAGACAGGGATTGCGTTAACCCCATATTTTGCTTCCTGGACTCCAATTATTGAAGAGGGACCCAGTTTTTCAGGCAAGTTTGGGACCAATCTTTAATAAAGTTATCAAGGGTCAAATTTCAATTTCTTTAAATTTTGTAAGTGGACTCGTCTTGCCGAGACACTAGCGCAAACCCTGTATAGACTACTGAGTGTGGTTGGAACCGTAAATTTTTTTCATCTCCACGTCTACTTTAGACACTACACTTGTATGTCATTCAAACATACTGGATCAAAAACAAGTGATTAGTGCTCCTTTGCTACAGATAGGAAGGAAACCGGTCTTGTATTGCAATGTAAACAAAGAAACACACACTCCTTTTGGAGTGATCTGAATCTACAGTACTAAATTATAATCATTAACTATAACTGTAATATTATCAGTTTCATGCCATATCACTTCTGCTTGGTACATTTTCTTTCACTTTGGTGCAGTCCATGAAATTCACAGTACATTTCAATGCATTTATATTTAGCTTTTTAATCTCATTTAACAGGATTCACTTACATAATTATGTATATTTCATTTCAGTGTCATTGTTATCATGTTTTGCATCTGCTTTTCATCTGCTTTCTTCTTTCCTCTTATAGCTCCTCTATTATGAACACATTTCATTTTGTCTTGTACACCAGTATTTTGCACATATTGGAAATATATTTTCAAACAAAAAGTGGCCTGACCTTTGACATTGCATTTGAGAAGCTTGAAATTTAGATTACTGTAAACAGCTTTTATTTTAGTTTTGAAAGAGACGAGTTGTCATGTACCGGTATATTCACGAAAATTTGTCTCTGTAAACGCTCTCAAACCATCAAACTGAAAAATGTAGACTGTGAATATGTATGTACATTGTATGGTTCACATCACTTTCTTTTTGCTGAATTTAATCTACATTGAAAATAACAAATTGTGTTGACATATTTATCGTTATATCATTGGATTTAATTCAAAGTAAAGTATTCTACATGGTTGTGTGCGTCTCTATTCAATATATCCTGCATTGTGTACACTTTACTTCAGACAGTTATTTCATTTTTGCATATCTTACTGAGCCCATGACTTTTTTCTGCAACCCTTTCACCATCATCGCTATCATAAACTACCACATATCACATACTAATCAACTCAAAGTTTATCATTGTATATGAATAGATAAAT